GCTGTAAGAAATATTTACCCTATTTCTGAATTCAAAGATTTTGCATTTTTTGTATTTTTCTGATCAAATTTGTACTTTTAACTTTATTTTCTATTTCCTTATATATATTCTCTTTACATACCATTTCTTTCATATATACATATTTGTATATACATTTACTTATTTCATATGTAATAGTTCTCAAAATAAAATTATTGTAACTCGAGCTCACGATTTTATATTTTTTGATGATAATAAATATTGTAGCTCACATCCTATTAGCTACTTATATTTATAATATATTTTTGTTTATGTGTGTACTAACTTTTTAAGAACACAATGCACCATCCAATGAAGATTCAAGGCTCAAGATTAGATAGAATATGTTAAGCTATAATGATTTTTGTAATATTCATTAATGTATTTTTGATTTCTTGAGTTTAGTCATATAAGGGTGTATGTTTACTTGGTAACCTTACATACATATACTAGGGGGTGAGATTGAGTAAAAACTAGAAGTTCGATTTTTAAACTAATCGTATGGTATGATCAGCTCATCTAACTAATCATACTAGATGATTAGTTATGATCACAAAAAAGTAACTGCTAATCATAATTTATGCAAGATTTTAAATTTCATTTTTTATTCTAATTATCCAAGATGATTTACATCGTACTAGATGATCTATGACAATCATACCTAAATTGATCATATGATTAATTGACTAATTAATTATGGTTAAATTGCTCAATCAGATCATACAAGACAATCTTAAGATTATATTGGATGATCTTTGATATTTCATGGGATGAACCTCAATCGTACCAGATGAAAAGCCATAATTTTTCTTCTATTCATCTGGGACAATCCACAATAATATATTAGACGATCTGTACAAATTTAAACTGATCGTCCAGGACTATCCTAAAATATCCAAGATTATCAGGTCAAATTCTATACATCGTAATGGATGATCTTGTGATTGTTCATGATGATATTTGGCGTTAGAAGTGAGTTTTAGAATTTTATAAAGCCCTCTTTTTAATCACATCTTACTATATGAGCATGCAATCATACTGGACGTTCTTTGTCATCAGAATTGAATTTTAGGATTTTTTAAATCCCTATATTTAAGCTTTGTCAAGATACTTGGTAAGTATCTTTGACATCTATTGTATCTTCGTTCTTTTGGAGAAAATTTGAAGAGGGAACTTAAAACGGAGAGAGAAAAAGATGGAGTTTAAGAGGGACAAGATCATTGGAGGGGGTTTCAAGAGAGTGTGGAGGGGATTTCACATGGTTGCACCAAAAAGCTTGCACCTTAATACATCAGATTCAAGGTTCGTCTTGAGGGAAGTTTTGAGAAGAAGAAGAAGATCTCTTTGGTGTTAAAGGACCTGACTACTCTGCCACATCAGGGAAGGTGGAAGTGATTTTGTAGGGGCTAAAGGAGAGTCACTAAAATTTTAGTGCAATACTCAAAGGGTGCCTCCGAGGAGTGGACATAGGTCAAGTTGGACCGAACCACTATAAAACTTGTGTGTTTTTTCTAATTTTCTTTTTTTCCACACTTTATTTTTCACATTTATTTTGGATATAACTACTTGGATGAAAATTTGTAATTGATATTACATTGTATTAATTATCTTTTTCAGATGTTAAAAAATCTTTAAGAAGGGGATTTTTCTTTTATTGAAAGAAAGTTTTTTAAATATTCAATTTACCCCCATCTTAGTTAGCCTCGGGACTAGTTCTTTAGGATTTAACAACCCTCATGAACTTTCATAAATTATAAGTCTGAAAGCATATGTATAACATGTTTCTTTCAAAATAAATTAGAAAAATACAATAAAGAGAAATTATATAAATATCCACTTTAATTCTTTCAAGTCCTCGCTCCTTGGCACAACCTAAAGGATACACACTCATTTAAATTTATCATTTCTTCCATAAATGTTTCATAAATATTCATCTAATTAATGCTTACCTCAAATCTCAATTTTTTCTTTCTTGAAGAATCAAAATCCTACAATTTAATCTCTTTTTTTTTTAAATCCTTAAAATCATACAATATAAACTTTCATAGAAATATGATTTAGATAATAAAATTTAATAATATTTACACGATAAAAAATTTACTTAGAATGAGGATTTTCCCAAAATCCCAAAATCCTTTCTCTTTCTGTCCCAAAATCTCTTCTCCTTTCATCCAATCTCTTTTTTTCCCTTATTAAAACATCACTTATTTTAGATGAAGTAAAATAAGAAAATTTATATAAAAAATGGAGAAAAGAATCGCAAAGCTTCTTCCCTCTTCCTCTCAGTCGTTCTTCTCGTTAACTATGATTTCTTCTAATTGACCACTTCTTTAGTGATAGGAATGAAAAGGAGTTGGTGATTCTTATCCCTAAATACGATAACTTACTAAAAATGGTGAAATAAATTCTCTGAATTCCTTCCATGCACATGTTCGACCGTTCCACCTTTCTGTTTGATTATGTCCTTCACAAGTTGTGACCCTTCTTTAATAACTGGCCGGTTCAATTAAACCGACCAGTCTAGTTCTCACATACTTATTCATTTTAGTGATACATAACATAATATATTCATTGTGCATGTGATATACAAGATATATTAAGCATGTGATTAAGATATTGATTTAATATTAATATAGAATACTTGGATGATATGTGTACATTACTATATGATTTTATTACATTAATTTGTTTTCATCAGTCTTTACTGATATTTTGATTCAATACTTTATTCGACAGTCTTTACTGATTGGTATTACATATACGTTGATTGCTTTATAAATTTGACACTTGTACAAGTTCATTGCTTTATTGACTTATGTACCGTAGTATTTTATTGTTAATATATTTTACTACTAATGCATGTAAATTTTAATATTTCTACATTAATTCAATGATTATATGAATGTAACTTCTATAATTTGACTATTAACATGCATATTGCTCCTTTTTCATGCTTTGAATTAAGTTATAGGTTTTGGTGACATACTAAGCTTTTTAGCTCATTATATGTGGTTAAATAATTTCAGATCAGGGCAAAGGATCAAGAGTGTGATTGACCTGGATTACTCAGGTTCTATTTTTTGTGTTTTAGTTATTCTTTTATACTTAGAACATGATAGATATGTTATGATTATATAGATCATGAATATTATATATAATTTTTTAGAATGAATACATATGTGTATATTGATCTTTTGAATTATAGACATTGTTTTGTTGTTTATTAAATGATAAATGAATAAGTCTTCAAATTAGATCATGGGGCATCACAAAAAATTTGAGATTAAGTGCAATATTGCTTATGGAGATGCCAACAAGTGATTTATACGAGGTAAAGTGCTCGATTTTAGGGTTTTACCTGAAATGGAGGATAATTGTCTCAAAAAGGTGTTATTTAGTTTAGGTTATAATATTAAGAGCTCAAATAATAATATATGTTACTAGTTGACATTAATATATACTCACTTTTGAAAATACATTGTATACAAAGTGCTTAAACAATGTTAGCAAGGCTCCACATTCTTATTTAGATATCACTTTGCTTGAGTACCTGAAGCACACAAAGTAAAAATGATTATTTGATAAATATACCATTCTAGCTGTTGACCTCGAGGTCAGTCGTATGCGCGATCCAATCTGCCCTCCCATCGACCCGTTCGTGTCGAGTGTAGAGGTCTGCGATCGTTTTGTCCCACAGGGATAGTGCGGCCGTACCCTCTGCGTTCGTACCCCACGAGCGGTGCTCCTTCGGAGGTCCACACTAGCAAATATAAAAATCATTTTTGCTAAGAAATTAAAAAAAAAAAACACATTGTGCAAGTTCTTGAATAACTAAAATATTAATTATCTATCTAATTAGCCAATTGAATTATATGCCATTGATGAGAATCTTAATAGGTGAGAGGACATATACTTATAAAAAGTTTGATGTTTGTGAACATGCATTAGTTAGAATTCGAGATAGAGATGTTATCTACTATAATTTACACCCAAACTTTCACATGTAGGAGGCATGATTAAGTGCATACACCGAAAATACATATACGATTGGAAATGATGACAACTTGGAGGTTCTAGATGGCATAAAATGCATTGTTGTGCCACTGCTAATTATGAAGCTGAAGAGTAGCTATCTAAAGTAGAATATAAGACTTTAAAGAGGGGAGAAGGATGTGATGCAATATAGGTGTAGCAAATGTGAGGTTAAAGGCCATAATTGGATTAATTGAAGGGCCAAGTGATCATCACCTTCATGACTTAAATAATTTTCCTTGTCATAATTATAATATTTGATTCTTTTTTTATGTTAGAAGTTTTTCCTTTCAAATTTTGATGATTTGCCTATAATATCTATTTGACATTGAGTAAATGAGTGGATTCATTTTATGCAATTATTGTTGTAATTTCAATTATTAATTCTACTCAATGTTGTTATGTTAATAATCATGATGATGCGTTGCTTATCTTAAATAATAAAATAGAAAACTGATATATTATATGCTATAATATCTTATTTGAATCTAAGTTTGAAAAAGTTCGAACCCTTAGAATAAAATTTGAACCTGGTTCAAATCAAGTTCAAATTCTATTCCGTCTTTGTTTGATTTTTGCTAGAACCTCCCTATTAAAACCTTATTCGAATCAAATTCGAGTATATTTTTAAATTTGCTTGAGCCCCACTCGAGCCTTACTAAAACTTTGCTCAAATTTTCTTCGAATAAATTAGAAGTGCGGCTCGAATCCGACTTGAACATAATTAAACTACAGCTTAAATCATAGTTTGAAGCTCTAATCACATTCCACCAAAGTTTGAATAATATTCAATCAAAATTCAAAGTGAGACATAAAATTCGAATGTGAATAAGTCCAAATACGATTATTATTAGTCATTTAAAATCTAATAATATCGAGTCGAGTTATAAGATCTATAGTGCAAAGCACTCGATTCAGGCCACTGAAATCCAATTGAAAAACAAATGAGGTAAGCATTAAAAATAAAGAAAAGCACGGGAGGTGGGCCGGGTATTATCCCTCTCTTTCTCTCTCCTCCGCTCCCATAATCCCATTCCTTCGTCTTCGCTTCTTCTTCGCCGTCGTCATCGCCTCTCTCGCTTTCTCTCTCTATCTAGCTTTTCCTGATTCGTTATTAAAATTCGATCCCACTCGCGCGTCTTCTTCTTTTCAGCCGGTGAATTGTCTTCTGGCGGCGCCCGGAAAGGCCGAAGCAAAGATCTCGAAGAGGAGAGAGGGGGAGAGAGACGGTGGGACCCTCTTCTCCTGCTCTTTTCCCTGATTCCATAAGCTTCCATCACACAACTGGGCACAAATCGGCTGTTAAGGGCTCAATGATGTCGCTGCTGCGGCTTCGGAGGAATGCGCTGTGGTTCTTCTAGGTCGAGCCTTCAGTCCATTTTCTTCCGATCTGTGGCGCAGCACAGGTATGGACGTAGACTCGTCCATGTCCGCTGAATCTGACCACGATTCAACTGCCGCAAACCTCTATCATGATCCTCAGCCGCCACAGCATCCACAGCAGCAGCCGGCACCTGCCGCGGTTCCTGTGGCTGGGCCTAGGCCGGCTCCGACGTACTCGGTTGTGAACGCGATCATTGAGAAGAAGGAGGATGGGCCGGGGTCGCGCTGCGGTCATACGCTCACGGCGGTAGCGGCTGTTGGTGAGGAAGGGACGCCCGGGTATATCGGCCCAAGGCTGATCCTCTTCGGGGGCGCCACGGCACTCGAGGGCAACTCGGCCACGCCACCCTCTTCAGCCGGTAGCGCCGGCATCCGTGAGTGTTTGTCCTTTCTTTTCCTTATCATGTTCGAGGAAGTTTCGTAATCTAGCTTTGCATGCAAAATTTAAAAGAGATTGTAAAGAAGTAGCTTGGTGAGCGGGCTATTGGATTCTTTGGAAACACTTGATTTATTTGAATGGGTGGACAATGATTCTATATTTACGCGCTGTGATAAATGAAAAATAAGTTAAAAGGACGGAGGTTGTGTTTGAATTTAAGAATAATTCAGGTTGCTTTTTCTTTGAAATTGGGAGTTGAAGCTAGTCATTTTTTATACTCAGTCATGGAGAGAAGGGTCTCATATATCACTTTCATGTTCTCTGAAATTGGTGGCATTCTCTTCGCTTGCAGGGCTGGCTGGTGCAACTGCTGATGTTCATTGTTATGATGTGCTGGGGAACAGATGGACGAGGTATGCTTCTTAGCTTGGTTCAAAATTATCAGCTCCGTTAGCTTTTTCTACTTGCCCAAGTTCATTGTTGCTTTTAATTTTATTAACTACACTGGAGGTTTATAGCCAGAAAATGTTTTTTTTTTTTTTCCATTTTTTAAAATTTTATCAACTCCTCTAGTTTGCTTCTTTTGTTGTCAAGGATGATGATTTTTAGTTAGTTGTAAAGCTCCTTAGTTTTCATTTTTTTTAATTATAACACTTTACCCAAATGATAAACTAAGTTTAATAATGGTTTTGTCAGTTATAAAACTACTCCATCTAACTTTGAATGCTCATGAACTTGGCCTTGTATGTGAGTGTTTCTGCTTGTGTTGCTTCAAACCCAAGTATTTTACATGGGTTTGGATGCAATTCTGTTATTGTACCAAGTTTGAGCACAAATTTAGTATTTTACCCGGTTTTACATGCAACCTTAGAACTCTATCTAAGTTTTGCCAACCCTAATATTCTACCAGAATGTTTTCCTGATATGGTATTCTATTAGGTTTTTGGTGCAACTTAAGTATTCTATCAAAGTTTATCAGCCTGATATTTTTGAGAACTCGTCCTGAAATTCTTGTATTCTACTAGAGTTTTGGGCACCTTTACCCCACGGTTTGTCTAACCCTAGTAAAAAAATAGAGCTAGACCGGACCATAATGGAACATTAGGTTGGACCAATCCGCTTGCACCCAAATTTTAGCTATGCTTGATGCAACCCAATTATTGTATTTGAGTTCGTTTTTCAAGTATCCAATCGGGACTCCACATTTAAAAAAAAATCATTAGGATATTATTCTTTGCATACCAACTCCTCATAACATGGTTGCACCCAAACCTTGTCTATGCCTGATGCAACCCAATTATTTTACCTTAGAATATGTTTTCCGAGAATCCTATTGGGACTCCAAATTTCAAAAAACCACAAGGATATTATTCTTGGCATACCACCTCCTCATAATATGAGATGGATTCCGTTGATAGGATATAGAGATTCTACTAGAAAATTAGATATCTGGTTGCATAATCTGCTGTTTGATGAGTCATTGGGTGAGCTAATTTTTATTGGAGTTATATGTCAATTTTTGTTCAAATCATAGAAAAATGCAATGGTGGGAGAGGTGAGGAAGAAGATCAAGTATTAGGATATTAATTTTCTCTCATTTGCTTAGTTTCTAGTTGTTCTTGTTTGCAAATGTATAGGGATTTAAGTGCTGAATTTTAAAAATTATTCTTATTGGTAAAGGGGTCAAAATTGTTCTTTTTGACTTGCTTTTTTTCCCCATAATTAACATATGTAAATGGTGATTATGCTTTTATGTGGTTCTAGGCTCACTCCAGTTGGAGAACCACCCTCACCAAGAGCTGCACATGTTGCAACTGCTGTGGGCACAATGGTGGTAATTCAGGTTTGGGTTCTATAACATTGATTGATTTCACTATTAGATACTAATGAAAACTTGGAGTTCTATTATCAGGAAAAATAGTTAGAGAACATTTTGAATTTTATCAATCTCTGTTGGAAATGTAGGGTGGGATTGGCCCAGCTGGTTTGTCGGCAGAGGATCTTCATGTCTTGGACTTAACACAACAACGTCCACGATGGCATAGGTAATTGCAAGATTTATTAGTTAGACATTTTTTTGCCAATAATGCGGATATCTTTGTTGAAAGTTTTGTAATTATTATCACAGGGTGGTTGTTCAAGGACCTGGACCTGGGCCACGCTATGGTCATGTTATGGCTTTAGTCGGTCAGAGGTTTCTATTATGCATTGGTGGAAATGATGGTAGGTTTTTATTTGCATGCACAATACTATCTCGGGATGATATCAATCAACATTTTACCTTTAACTATTTTGGTTCCTGAAATGTTTGAGAAGTAAACTTCTGCAATTTTCTAGGTAAGAGACCTTTAGCTGATGTTTGGGCGTTGGACACTGCTGCTAAACCCTATGAGTGGAGAAAGTTGGAGCCAGAAGGTGAAGGCCCACCTCCATGCATGTGAGTGCCTTTTTTCCCTTTCCTGAAAAAGAATTTCTGTCATGCCATACCATTTGATTTCATAATACATGTTATGTTATGTGGGATAATTACATGATCTTTGATTTGATAGATGGTTTTTTTAAAAATAATGGATTCTCATAATTCAATGCTTGGCATTTAATATTATTATTATTTTCGTACTGAAATGGTTGTATACATCTAGAGTGCATTTGTTGTGGCAGCCCATGTGCATGTGTCACCAGCAGAGATGTGGTGCACTCACCCCAAACATTAGTTGTTTAGGTAGATGGTATTCACTCCAATCCATGTGATAAAACACAACAATGTTAAATACTGCTACTGAGCCACATAAGGCCCTAATATAGTCATATTCCATCTCTTATTATTTGATTGCATAAAAGAGAACATTAGTCACTCTATTCATTGGCATGAAATTGCTTGCTAAATCATTAAAACTCCATTGGTTGGGATGGCAATGGACCATTGCAGTTAGGTACCACAATCACAGGGGCATGAACCACCTTAACAAATGCTTCTAATGCTAGTAATATTTTCATGATCATATATTTAGTAACTTAAACTTACTTTTGGCATGCATGCACACCATTTTTTTTTAGCTCTCAATTATATGCTTCTTATGATCAATAAAAATCACATTAAAATCCTTTATTTGCTCTCCATACTTTCCATTAATCGCCTCAACATAATGATCACTCTATAGTAGATTTTTCTGATATGAAATTAAGTTGATTCTCATAAGATGTAGTTTTTTTTGTTTATGCTCTATTACTCTCTCCAATAGTTTCATATAATGACTCAAGGTTGATTTCTTTATAATTAGCACACTCTTTAACTTTTTTTTTTATTCTAAAGTATTACTAACAAAATATTTTTTCCCTAATAATTTGAACTAGTTTAGTATTAATTTTTTTTCAAAGATTTATTAACCAACTCATTGCAAAACCTCCTAGAATTTCCTTAATGTTAACAAGTATGTCATCTATATATATATATATATATATATATATTCTCATTATCTTTTTCAGTACCAAGCCTATTATATAAAATATCAAAATTATAATTTCTTCTTCACTCACTACACTCTTTTTTTGTCTTTTTTTGCTTTTTATAATCATAAAAAATCTATTTAGTATTAAATTTTTTGCTACTCTTTAAATGCTTATTTCTTTTCCTTAATCTTTAAAAGTACATTTCTTTTCATTTACAGCCTTTTATTTTGTCCTCAGTGCACAATCAACTTACTTTTTAAGACTCTCCTAAGATTCTTATTATTGGAATTAGCCATCTTATCATGTCAGTTTTGACTCAACTAAAATTATTAACGATCTAATCTCATTCCGATCCATTCTTGTCTCAAGCTCATCTTGAAGTCCTTCAATCCAATCTTGAGCTGAGATAAATATTGTCTTAGTTTGATCTGAACGTGATTTGAGCTTGGCATGACTCGTCAGCTTTGATTCAAGCTTTGTTGGTCCAAAAAATTGATTTGATTTAAACCCCCTAAAACAAATTCTTAGTCTTACGTACATGCATTGATGCATGTTATATTTTAAAGGCTAGTTTAATAGAGTTTATGTGTGTCATGAGCAATGTTTAAAGTTGCGTATTCGGGTATTGAGGCATTTTTCGTTCGTGAGGCGAGGCATAAGCCTCAAGGCGTTTTGAGGCGTAAGCCTTTAAATAAAAAAATTGCGTAAACAGAAAATGATAAATTTTGTATATAGAGTAATGAGTAAATAATATATAAAACCATGGTTTAAAATTGCGTAATATGAGGCTCGCCTTGAGGCCCGCCTTTGCGCAATTCCAGTAAAAAACGCCTCGATGCTTACGCCTCGATTTTTTTTTTTATGAGGCTTGTGCCTCAACTTGGTTGAGGCCCGCCTTGAGGCCCGCCTCGCTTCACTGGCATGAGGCTTAGGCCTCACGCTATATATATTAAAACTTACATAAATCTTGAAGTAAATGCCCCACATTGGACTCTATAGGAGAGGAGGTACGGGAGAGAGCAGTTCATCATAATGTTGATTCAAATGAAGAACTCCTTAGCGATGACAGTGCTGATGACTTATGAGTTCTTATGTGATATGTCATTGCTATTTATTTTTGGAAATTGGAATTATATGTTAATGAAAAGAATATTGGGATTTGGGAAAGATAGAATTTTGAGTTGAATTAAATTTCATGTTGTCTTATTATTAGGATATTTTGATTTCACTTCATATATTATGTTTTTTATGTTTTATATTATTCACTCAGCAGTATATAAAAAATTTATCATTTTATGTTTACGCAATCTTTTGATTTTAAGGCTTACGCCTTAAAACGCCTTGAGGCCTACACCTCGCCTCACGAATGAAAAACGCCTCAATACCCGAATACGCAATTTTAAACATTGTATAAAACATAAAAATGCACAAGATATGAAGTGAAATCAAAATATCCTAATAATAAAACAACATGAAATATAGTTCAACTCAAACTCCATCTTTCCCAAATCACAGTATTCTTTTCATTAACATATAAGAGTTGTTTTGAGCGGTACCAGAACAAAATTTTATTGTAAGAGTTATTTTGAGCGGTACCGAGCGGTACTGGCTCGGTACCGAGAATGTACCTAGTGGTACCGATCATGTACTACTCAGTACCGAGCATATACTGCTCAGTACCGAGCATGTACTGCTCAGTACCGAGCATGTACTGCTCAGTACCGAGCATGTACTGCTCAAGGCGCACATATACCTGCTCGGTACCAAGCGGTACGGCTCGGTACCGAGCATTTACCTAGTGGTACCGAGCATGTACTGCTCAGTACCGAGCATGTACTGCTTAGTACCGAGCATAATTTTTAGAGGCGGATGCCTCTCAACCGCAGTAAACTTGAGGCGTACGCCTCAAATCTTGAACTCATTGCATAGGCTTTGAGGTTTAAATGGAAGAAATTGCGCTGAGACGCGCCTCTTATTGTGCAATTTTAAACCATGGTCATGAGTCTTATGTTATATATGCAACAATTGATCTTCTTCATGTATTTTCAACTTTTCTTATGTATATTGAATCTTTCATTATGGGCCACTAGTGTGCATGAGTCATGTAGTTTTTAGTTGGTTGAGCAAGAGACATGCCCATTCCTATGTTTGAGCCAATTTTCGACCTTCATTTTACCAATTTTATTGCTTCTTGACCTTGAACACCACATTATCCTGACTTTGACTGCCATCTCATAATGTTTGACTCCACATCACTTCCTCTCTCTCCCTCTATAAAGTAGCTTCCATTTCCTCCTCTCTTCTCCTCGAATGCTTTGCATGCAATTCTCCCTGAAAACAACTTAAAACACTTTGGAAACCCCCCTTATTATCCTGAGATTCTTACAAGACCTTTCAAACTCCACAAAGCATTTAATCCACTTCCTTCTCCATTTCTCTTGGTCTCCTCTTGTGAAGTTTGTATATGTTGGGTCTTATTTCATAGAAACCAAGTAATGTTGAATGAAGGCTTTGATTTCTTGCCACTTTGTTTTTAATTGTGTTCTTTCCCTCATAAGTAAAGGACCTCTTGAGTGAGTGAGTGCATACCTTTGGAGAAGTACTTTCAATGAAGGAAGAAGATGAACTCAACAAGGGACTATTTGTGGAGATTAACTTCAAGTTATCCCTGCTTATGTCACCGACTTTGCTGACTCTATCACTATTATATCCTTTTCTAGCTTGCAATTGCTTTCCATACAATTTAAGGCTAAGAATCTTGCATTAGTTAACATAGTTCTTAATCGAATCATATTTTTATTGTTAGATTCTTTGTATTTGTAATCACTTTGTTCATCACTTTTTGAAGCTTAACATAAATTTTTAAAGAATTTTTGTCAAAGAAAGATTTGCATGAACATTACATGATCTCACTTCCTCATTCCATTCTAGTTTACTTCTGCACCACATTATAGTTTCTATTCATACTGCATCATACATAGGCTCATATATATGTATAAATGTATTAAAGTATATGTGCATTAATTAGAATCAAAACATATGCTTAAATATACACATATACATTGCATTTCCGCTCTGAGATATAGATCAATTTGATCTAGGCTTTGCTTAGTTCAAGTTTGATTTGAGATGAGCTTGACTAGTTGTCTTCATTCGAGCTCAATCTAAAACAAACAAAAGACAATAATTTTTGAGTGATTTCCTATTTTTTACTTATGTTTGATTTTTGAGTTAAATAATTCAAATTTTGCTATGTTAACAACTTATCTTACTTGATTAATAATTTTTTACATTTCAAATTCCATTACCTTATCCTAAGCAATTAGTTCTTTGGATTGTTTTCTTTACTTTGAAGCAAAAATAAGTTTATTTATGATTTTTTTGCTCTATATTTATGAGCAACTAAATATTCTTGTTTTTTTTATGTATATATTATATGTTAACTATATTAAGATTGTTATTGTGAAATCAAATAGAGCTTCTTACATTACATTTATCTCTTATTCCATACCATCATGAATCCTCTTCGAGGTCATCCTATTAGAGCTTATTAATATTATTTAATTCTTTAGTGTTCATTTGTCCAAAAACTATTTTTATAAAATTATTTTCTAATCCAACTTGAGGGGCAACATTTATAATATTCTCATCAATAATTATTTTTATATAAACCATCTTATCACTAACCCTCATCACCTCAATAGTTTTATTTTATAACACTCTACAAAACTATCTCAGCCCTATTCCTATTATTAACCGTTTCAATGTCAATAACTTATAACTCTCACAATGTTCTTGGATTTTTTCATGTTTTCATTTAATTTTTGTGATGAGGACATCAGTAGAAGATTCTAGCGCGTCTATTACAGGAGACATTGCGGATCGACGACCACGATCAGGATCATCTATTTATGTGTTCTTTATGTTATTGTATTAGTATTATTTTATTATTTGTTTTAGTTGACCTTTGTACCCCTACAAGGGAGTTTAGTGAGTTGTAGCCCGGAGGGCATATGTGTCTTTGTTTTTTTGTTCATTGTTGAGGCCTATATATAGTGGCCCTAGTCTTTGTATTGGTTTTTGATGATTGCTTAGTAAAATTCCAGAATTTCTTTCTCTTAAGCTTGTAAGTTCTTGAGTGGTGAAGTCCCAAGTGTGGGCAAAGCAATACCCACTAGTCGCAGAGTAGCTCCAGGCTTGTGGTCACCTCTCCCTTGCTTCCAACCGCCAGCCATACCACCCTTGGGTGCCAAGTCGCCGGCCATCCCATCCCCAAACCCCCACCGTCGGCCACCAACCATCCTCCCCATCCTAAACCTGACGGCTCTCTTCCCCCTCTCCCACCTTAGGGCCGGCCTACCCAACCCAAAACCGACCCCTTTCATCTCCAACCCAAACCCTAGCCACCGCCCCCCTTCTTTGAATCCCCTTGATGATGATTTCAATCATCATAATTGCTTGCCTAAAATAGATAAGTCAATTTGGGAAGGACTTTAAACCTATTTGAAATTCAAAATTGAAATTTCAAGTACTTCCCAAAATTAACCTATCTAAATTTGGCAAGTGTTCAAATTAAAGTCATTCAAATTTAAAATTAGATTTGATTCCATTACTTGTTTCCTGATTTAAGATAATGAATTAGGAAGCATTTATTTCCCTCCCCAATCTCCTCAACTCCCATGCATGCTGCCGCCCCCCTCCTATCTTTCCCTAATTTAGGATTCAAAATTGAATTCTTATTTCCCTTATCTCTCTTTAATTCTCTAGATTAATTACTTACCTTAGTAATTATTCTAAAATCCCAAAACCCCTCCCTAACCTACCCGTTCCCCTCTCTAGCCAAACCCACCCCACCCGTCGGCTCTCCACTCCTCTCATCCTCTTGCTTTAGCCGTCGGCTTCCCACATTGCCAAGGTGCACAATAAATAAGATCCCCATTTTCTTGGATGATAGATCCTGAAGTTGATCACGGATTCACATACAACTCTCAAGGACAAATTGATATCTCGCAATCACCCTTCTTTGATCCCAACTGGGAATTCGACGACCCAGTCGAAGGCTACGTAGATCGCATACTCTACCATCTCGCCGAGATGATTTGCGAACAACGACCTTCCGAACAGTGGCAGCTCATCGGACGTCCACCTGTGCCTCCTTCTCCGACTACCCTCCCGTGGCTCAAGACCATGGGTGTCGTCACCGTCCTAGTGGCATAGCTTAGTTTGCTAACGGTCTCTCTCCACTAAAGCCTCTCAAAGAGTGTGAGTGCAAGAGGGAAACTCAAGGTGAAAGTTCTTTATATTAGCCTGCGGATTATTATTACCAGTACATTTAGTTTTATTATAATTTCTGATTTATTTTAAAGTGATCTGTTCTCTCAAAAGTGTAACAACATACATGAGCAAAATTTCAAAGGATAATTCTTAAAGCTAGTTCTTACGATTCATTAATCTTAAAGTAAGCGAATTTGCAATAATTTTATTATTTCCTAAAATTTCCTGGTTGTTTCACATCATTTTTTGAACAAGTAATGTTATGTTTATTCTTCGTCTAAACATTGCTTTCACAAATTATCTCGTTTTTTATGCAAAGTTCTCAAATTTATATAGAAAATCTAATCATAGCTTTAGATCTAACTCTTGTTCACTTTTCACAATAATAATTTAAACTTGTGTTGCATCACTTGATATTGATGTCATAACCATTACTTGCTTACTTTTCTCCATATTAGGCTAAGTTGTGGCACACTATGCCTGATAGTCCCCTACTTTTTAACACCGAATGGAACAGCATAGCGGAAAGTTTCCCGTGGAGCCACGGCATGGTGCGGGCCAATTAAAACAATGCACACAATATAAAATTATATATATAACAAACGATAGGTTGATTTGAGCATAAATATCTTGATGAACAGGAAAAATGACTACTTTAAATCCTACAAAAAACTTAAGCCAATAAATTTGAGCGGGATTTAAGCATAATTTAGCCTAAGTCATGTCAAACAGCAACAACAAAATCTATAAATCCTATAAAAAATTAAGTCTTTTATTATTTTTAATAATTAATTATGATATTAATATGCAAATCTTAAAATATTAATTATAATTAAAATTTTATAACATGTCAATAAAATTGCATGCGCTATTTGCGCCTTGCACTATATTGCTTTGCCCATGCATAGTGTTTATAGCCCGCGCTATTCCGATGCATTGTGCTATGCTAAGAAAATAGTGCCGTACGTGGGCCGTGCTGTGTCATGCGCCATGACACATGCCATTGACATGTATGCTGGTCCTAAAAAACCTTGACCTACTGTTCACTATAATGGGCCAGGATGTGGTGCGTTACTTATGGGGAATACCCTAGCACTAGTAAAATCCAAAGTTGGATTCATTTTATCATTTTTGTCTTAAATTTTATGATTGGTTGTCGACTTAACAACTTTTTTTAACCTTTTTGATCTAAATTTGGGACTAACGGCAATCTTTTTGTCGACTTAAGCTAGTTCATAACCTTTCTTACTCAGGCTTTGATCACAATGGCTATTTAGGATAATACCAGTCTAATGTCTATGACGCTTTAAGTCTTTGCTTGGATAGCCAAGTTGGTCCAAATTGCAATCTTCAGAGTCAGAAAATTTAGCTACAAGTCATTAACTTTAATGTAGCATACATTAGGTTAAATATGCTGAATTACCATTTGCAGGCACTTAGTTGGTAGCCCAAACCGGAAATGCTCTGGGATTTGTATCTTGTTAATCTTGACTATACAATTTTATGGGACATGAACGTCATGCATTTCTTTCTAGGGCGCTATAATTTGCTAGTTTGATGTTTTTTCTCTACTAAGATTTATTAGCTTAAATGACTTCCTAAAATGATTCTTTTCATAGGCAATTCCTCATGAAATTTCCATGAACATGGAATTATAGATTTGTTTTATTCTCTGAACTCTTAGGAAACTCTAAATAGAGTTGATTTTTAAGTTCATTTGTAAACCTACATATATAAAACATACATAGTTCCAAATATGTGCCATACATCCATGTAGAATGCTTCCAGATTTAATCCCTTTCTCATGCTCAAATGAATGAAATAGGTATATTAAATTACCGCCTTTAATATTCTTGACAATGTTGAAAGAGTTGTTATGATGTAGAAGAATTATTGATTTGATACAAGCTTGATGATTGACTACTGACAATGAATTTCTTGTTGATCTTCTTCTTCCTTTTTTTTTTATGAATGCCTTTGCTTTATTTCTTCTTTGATATGAGAGAGTTGAAGAAAGGAGGCTTTCTTTTTTTAAGCAAAACAAATTTTATTATCAGTCAATGAAAGAGTATATTATGAAGCAATTGCATAATTTTGCTAGATGAAAAGGAAATTAAACTCAAAATACATCGTCAAGGCCAATAGGCACAAATGAACCAACATCTGATGGGAGGAATCCTAAGGGTCCTCATCAAAATGTCGAAATTGAAGCTCATTAATATATATATTTTGGAAAGTGATGATATATTATTTTGTTTTTTTTTCCCTTTTGGTATATAGAATTTGAAACTTATTTTTCTAGATCTTTTGTGCTAGAAATTCTAACATAAAAGCCAACAAATAGATAATTTGAATTACTAATATCCCTAGCATTTAGATGACCAGCTAGAGCAAAAACCCTAGGTGGGTCTAGATCACTAATCTTATGAGTAGGTTTGGGTTCATTCTCAACCATTAGGCTAGCTATTTGGGAAGACTCTAATTTGAAGGCATGATCTAAACTTCATTCAAAGTTTTGTGTACAAATCATACAGAAAGAAGTAGGAACTACCACCACTACATTAGAAGGCATGTTTTTATCAAGTGAATCATCCTCATTGCCACTATTGCTTGGGGATTTTTGTAGTCATGAGTGTGTTCTAAAGCATATTGAGTTGTGACAAAAATTTTTGCAAGAAGAATTATAAGCAAGAATGCCTTAAAACCTTACCTTTTGTCATTCTCCACTAGTTGCAGAGCAAATCCGAATTTCTTTTGCTAAAAGGGACGTAACATCCATTTTGAAAAACAAGGACTTTAAGAGAGAGGAAACAAGATATTAGGGCTTAGATACTAAGTGTTGTAGATAGTTCAGTGGCACAACAACACATGATGGGTATTACAACACACATTTCGTATTATAGCTTTTTCTTCTTGAGTGAGATGGTGAGATGGGTTCCAGGAGATTGAGATATTGAATTATTAAATGATCTATTGGTTAAGAGAGATAATCATGGGAGATAGAGACGGGAGTGGTGAGAATAAGGGGAGATAATTTGAAAAAAAATCTTATCATCTAATTTGCAATAAATAAAATCAATATAATTCACTAAATAAAATTAAAATGAAACTGTGAGATAATCCTAGATATTATAATATTGAAGAAAAGATTTTTTTTGCTTCAGCATATTACATTTACGCAAGGGCTCCATGTTATTGGGAGTTCCGTGCAGGATGTTTTGTAATTCAAATTTTTGTCAATAAATTTCTACTTATGATATGAAGATGTGTTCTTGATTCCTTAGTAGAATGTTTATTATTTTTTCTCTGAGCAGTTTGAGATTAATCAAGTTTTTTAAACTTTTCTTCCTTTCTTCTCTTTTGCTCGTCTCGCCTGTTATCTGTTCCATCTCTGTCCATGCATTTGCCTCATATTTTGTATATTGAAGCCCAATGTTATATGAGAAATGTTCATGCACCTGCAAAGGAAATAATTCTTGTAAGTGTCAATGCTAAATATGTCTAAGTTGTTAGATTTAAATTTGGCTAACATACGGGAAAAAATGGCTTTGGACATTTTTGATTCTGTTATATGAGTTCATCTGTCTAAAAAAAAGCAAAAAACTCTAAATTTAGTTCCTTTCTTCTTGATTAGGTATGCAACTGCAAGTGCGCGCTCAGATGGTCTTCTTTTGCTCTGTGGAGGGAGGGATGCAAATAGTGTGGTGAGTTTGAAATGCCAAAATACTGATTTTCGAGAAAGCAGATATGCTAAGTGCACATAGCTTAAAAATCTGTTCCAAGTATCATAGGCTTGATATTAATTTTTAAGTTAAAAAATAATTAAAGCATTCTTGCTTTTTTTTGGAGCAATGGTCTTCCTTTTTCTAACGGGATGATAAGAATATTTCACCATTTAACAAAAATAAAATTGATAATCTAGGCAGAAATGGGTTCTTTCTTAACATTTTAAAAATTGACAACATAATAGGAGAAATCAAAATGGGAAATTTTGGAAAGCTTTATATGACCCTTTTAATTGCAAGCGCACCAATTGTACATTCATAGGATTTTTAAAATCACTAAGTACATGCTAAAATAAAAAAATTATTCATTAAATTTTATTTTTAATAAATATATCCATTTTAGAAATACTCTTATGAGTAATTTTGCAGATGGATATATGGTCTATAATATAAATTGTACCATATCATACAAAAACATTTCTTCTATATAATCATGGAAGTACTAAGGAAGCACATGTTACATACTTTGGGGTAAATCATAATAATGGCATTAATATTTCCAAAATGATGATACTCTATTGGCATCGATGAATCCAATATCAAAATTTCTTGTTTATTTGTGGAGAAGCCTGACATCTCCTTTACAACATCAAATTTTGTTCCATGAAATCTCATGATTGAGTTGTATGCAAAATTTCAGTTTCGTTTGGGAACATCTAAAGAACCTCTGGCATCTGTAAAATAACAAATAAATAAATAAATTCGCATTCATCATAAAATACAATTATCCCAATTTGAAAATTACAATTTCTCTTAGAACAAGTGAGTAATTATTAATTACTAGCCATTTGGAGAGCTGTTCTTATGTTAAATTCATAGTGAATCCGCTGAAATCATTGTTGTAATTTTAAACATGAGATTTATATTTTTTTCTCCATTGTAGTGAATTAAAATCTAAACATGTAATCATTAACTTCATAGAAAATTATAAAAGAACCCAGTTACAGAACAATTTAGACATGACATTTCCTTTCTCCATTGATTCTATTTAGGGGTTGTTTGATTGCCTGAATTAGGAGTGTAAAATAAAACAAATACATGTATTTACTAAATTTGATTGTTTAGTTATGAGTGTATTACGGGGCCTGTTTTGCACGAATTAGAAACCCGCTCATATTGAGCGGGTTATAAATTTACTAGATGAAGAATTCCTTTGCGTCGTTGCTGTTGGGCTTCATTGCTTCGTTGCTGTTGGGCTTCATTGCTTCGCAGGAGGTCTAAGATTGCACGAGAGGCTTCTTCGGCTCCTTCGTTCTTGTTTGACTTCTCTCCTTCGAAGACGTGTCCTTTACCTGTTCGATCGGAAGTTGCGGCATTTTCATCGGATTTAAGGACGGGAGCTCGGAAGTTTGCATCATTCTCGTTGCTGGATTGAAACTAATCGCATCCACTGATCTTCCCAACCCTGTCCAGTCCGCCTCCTTAATTCCGATGAATTGAACCCCGAAAGAGAGAGAGAGAGAGAGATGCTTGCGGTGGGGAAGCCAGTTGCGATCCTTCGCCGTCCGAGCGACCAGCCCGGAAGCCCCAGGCGATCACTGGGAAAGATATTGGCCGGGTTGGAAAGAGGCGTAAATACTCGCAAGACTCAGATGGCTCTGGAGGCCCAGATATCTCTCGTCCTAGCCCTCGCATCTCAGGTCTTTTCCCAAACCCAGCGAGGTACGCTCAAACGATATCACCAGTTATTTCTTTGAAAAAAACTGCGAAATCTTGCTTCATCTCGTTTTTCATCGTCTTTTGCTTTTGGAGTTCGCTACAGTATTAGGTGATTTGGCGACCGAAAGTGCCAAGTATGCGATTCCACGGAGATTTGAACCCTGTAATTTCGAGGAAGCTTTGATGGCAGGTAACTCTTCGGATCCTGTTTTGTGTAGTTTGAGATTGAAATGAATGCCAAAAAGCCAATTAATGCCCAGGAGACATAGAAGCAAAACTAAAGGGCGGAAGGTGGGGACTTATCAATGAGCCGACATTATGTTCGATTAGGAGTCCAGTGAGGTTCAGCACCATCCACTTAAGATAACTCCAACTAATCACATAGCTAAAAAGAGCTATCCAGAGCGGGGAGTAGCAAATGGATGGGTCGTGAAAGGAAAAGCTATAGCAAATGGATGGGTTGTGAAAGGAAAAGCTAAAAGCCGATTTTAGAAAGCAATAAGAAAATTTTCTCAAACGAAGTCTTAGTCAAAACAAGAATTAAGTTCAAAAACTATTTAGCAATAAGAAATTTGTGCTAAAAAGGTGTACTAACAGATGAATGCATGAGTTTCCATAGTTTCTTTCAAATTATTACCAAAAAAAAAAAAAAACGATTTTACTTTACTCTGGATCTACCTAACCAAACAAGATATATATATATATATATACATTTTAACTGGCGTTATAGTACTGATTGGAAGGTAAAATCCACAATTGAATTGAAATAAGATAGTAGCCATTAACTAAGCTTGCGTAATGTCAAAATATCAGAACTAATCATGACAGCTAGGAAGACATTCACAGGAAAACAGAAAAACATTTTTGAGCAGAAAGTGCTTTAACAACTCAACCCAGGAACCTATCAACCTTAGGGGCTGTTTAGCATCCTGTGCTAGACAAGATTTAAGCATGAATTTTTAAATATATTATAAATCTAGAAATACACAGGATAAATTCACAATGTTGCTCACCTGATGCTTCACTTTGCTTAAGTGTTAATATGTTCCAAGTCTTCGCTATGCTTCTTGCCTTGTCTATCCAAAAGGTCGCAATGCTATAATTTTATGGATACTTAATCTTAGTTTCGTACTAGATTATTTGTAATTATATAAAGATTAAAGAGGTTCCTGTTGAAGTTTTGAAGATGAATTAAAGTTTATGTGGGATAAAGGCAATGAAGGCCGATGGTGGGAACTTGTACTCCTCAGAATTACGGCAATAAAGGTCTGTGGTGGGACAACGGGAAAGCTAATTAATTATCCTTCCAAATCCATAAAATCGAGAGCAAACACGTGCTCAAGAGGCTCCCAGTTTTGTTCGGCCCTACTAGATTGCATGCACAACTTCTCTTCAACTGCTCATTCATTGCTTGGTTCGGCACCAGCAAAAGCATGAGGGCCGGTCATCCTAGCCAAGGCACACATGCATGCAGTTCTTGCTTGCTCCCTCTCTTGATCCTCTTCTTCACTCGGTTAGGCCACTAGGTAGTCACGCACAAAAGGGGTCTTGTGTGCCTTCTCTAGCCGCATGCAGAAGACCAAAAAGGGAAGCCTTCTCACTTGCTCGGTTGCTCTGGACGCACACAAGTAGGAAGCAGAATGCATGAATCGGCTCGCCCTTGATCACACATAATGGTTAGCGCAATCCTACTCAATTAGCTCCCAGACACATGTGCAAAATCTTTTGGCCTCATGCCTCTCTCATCCCGTTTGGTCGCACACATGCTAGAGGGTTTTACGAGACGTTCGTTTCTCTTGATCGAACACAAAGACCACGGGGCTCTTGCTCGACTCCTCCAAACGAGACGAATTAGACTTTGATCTCTCTTAATAAAACGACGAGAATGCGAGATGAAGCACTCTCCCCCTCTCGGTTGGATGTACGCAGGAATGAACAAGATGAAATACGATCCCTTTCATTTTTGATGGGAAGGCCAGGCCTTCCCTTCAAAAAGTCTAGCAGTAAAAAAACTCAAAATTCCAACCAAGGCAATGAAGGCTCTGATACCATGTTATATTCAGAAAATTGGAGAGGAAAAAGCTTAATTTTATTACATAAACTATCTCAATTTATAGATCTATACAAGTTGTCTTAATAAAAAAATAATTAACTACAGAATCATGCATAATTGCCTTAATATAATCCTTCATAAATCAACCACCCAAATATGGAAGGAGATCGGCGTGATCCAGATGAGCCTCCCACGAATTCCTATCTTTGCCATGGGATTAGTTGTCAAGGGATGATTGAGATTTAACAGAGATTGGTGTGATCTAGGTGAGCCTCCCACGGATTCCCATCTTGGCCGTGGGATCAAGTGTCAAGGGCGGTTGAGATTTTTAACCTGAAACATTTAGGTAGAGGTAGATCTAATAAGATTATGTTAGAAAATATTAGAGATTACTTTTTTTATTAAATTTAAATGAGAATTTGACTTTTAATTGGACAAAAGGGAGAAAAATGATTCATGTAGCCGAACCACTTAATGGGATAAAGGCTTGATGGTGTTGTTGTTGTTGTGGTTCATCTTGAAGTAATTTATGTTATTGGTTCATGGGTTGACACGAGGAGGTTTAATATTCATGGATTAGCTAACGGGACTGCACCATAAGGCTTATTGTTCAGGTCTAAAAAGCATTTGGGGCATATTTTGTGATATAAAGTTAAATTTTCTAATAGAAATAGAATTAAAAATAAGATTGAGACAACTGTTCTTAAATTATCTAAAGAAATAAACTAAGTAAATCTAAAATCTTAATTTGAAACAACTGAAATAAATCTTAAATTTATTTCTTGCAGGACATCAATTCCTCTTAGGCTACAAAGAATTCTACTGTGTATGGTTGCCTTATTATTATAGGTAGAACTGAAGTTCTTCATCTGCATTCTATGGCTCGCAATATCCATTCTCAAGAAGAGTGATGAATGCAAAATTCATTTTAAAGAAAAGGCGACAAATGAGAAATCTATCTTTTGAAGAAAGAGATTGAGGGGAATGAACATCAATCTCAATAGAAGGCTTTCTCATTGATCTTTAAAAATATTATCATAGCTCAAGAAAGTTATCTCTAAATGCCTTTTGAGGTCTTCATGTACACTACTAAACTGATCAAACTTAATTGAAATACTGATTAACTTAAGTTGACTAAAGAATTGACTAATTGAAATTGATTTCTCCAATTCTCTCTCTTTCTCCATTTTTTTTTTCATTTTTTAGGTTTAGATTTGGGTGAGAAAGTGTATGGTTCAAAGTGCATTTTGACCTAAAATGTGGGTTAAAAACAAACTAATGAGATTAAAGGATGCAAAAAAAAAAAGAAGAGATTAGAGAATGTGGTTGCGAGTGGGGATGTGAGTGAAGCCCCAATTCTGAGCATTTTGCATGCAATAGGGGGAAGGAACTTATGGGAGTGCTGACGCAGGGATGCTTGTGAATTGGTTGTGAGTGGATAAAGATGCAATTGCGTGGTTAAGGATTGCACAAGCATGGGTGAGAAGTGGTAGGTGCACACATGCAAATAAAGCGATGAGGATGCAGGTGTGAGTAATTGGAGGGATTGTTGCGTTAGTGAGAATGACTTGTGAACGTGTATGCTTGAGAGTAGGCCATGAGAGGTGATAACAAGTTAAGATTGAGGAAGCTCATAGGCATGCGTGGGTGTTTGTGTGGGAAGATAGTGATGATGAGGTCTAAGAGTGAGTGCTGGACTTGATGAGGAAATTGTGATCATACAAATCTGGGGGTGGCGGTGGAGTGGAGGACATTAGCAAGCTTGAATATAAAGCTTTTAAAAGGAGTCAGATATGTTGTTGAGGTGTTTGTGAGTGGAGAGGAACTGAAGTTATACGTATTAATGGAAGAAGTGATGTGGATATTTGTGGAGAAGCTGACGAGCAAAATCTGTTAGCTTTAGAGAATAGATATCTCAAGATTAGTCACTTGAAGAGGGCTCAGTGCTGCTCAATTGGTTGGATCTTGAGAAAAAACGGATACAAAGGATGCCATAAGTTGTGTGGAATTCAAGCGAAAGAAGACTGAGGGTTTAGTCACATGTGGTCATAGGACAAACATTGGATCGAGTTTTAGCTTTGATATCCAAATTGATGTAGAGTTGAGTAGTCGAAATAGACAAATCTGGCATAGGAGGAGAGCGAAAAGGTGGAGAGATGAAGAGCGTTGGGTAGATAGACTAGTGAACATGGCAGAGAGGAGGAAACAAGAGGTAAAGACAAAACGACAAGGAGAAATTTAGAACAAAGAGAATCATTGTAGAGTGTAGGCCGCACAAAAACTCTGATCTCAAATGATTCTATCATTAGATTTAATCAACATTTGTACGACAATTTCTATTTATAGAAATAGTATTACAGGTAAGATCACAATTAAATCTGTCTTAAAATTATCCCTAATGATGATTGAACAAGGAATAAACCAAATAAATATAAAATCCTAATTGAAAATAAAATAAATGAAATAAATCCTTTGTTGCACTGCAATACTCTGCTTCCAGTCGTTCTCTATATAAAATCCTAATTTAAAATAAAATAAATGTACTAAATCCTTCCTTGCACGGCATTACTGTGCTTCAAGTCTTTCTATCCTTTCTGTTTCAAATAATGCTCTTAAATATATTTTTGATATTGCTACGGATTTCTGAATATATTGATCAGGTTTTCTTAATATATTGATCCGTATTGATCTTATCAACTGTCATTCTTTCTTACAACAGGCAGTCTAGAATAAATATTTTCTGTAGAGGTTAATGCTCTGCTCTTTGTCTGTCTCTTTGTGTTTTATTTTCATTCATTTTGATGTTGACTCAATTAACAATGGGAATTGGAATTCTTTGTATTATCAATTGGCGATTTGCTTCATCCTGTCTCTAATTAAAGCTGGTTCTGCGTAGTTATATTTTTGTTAGTAATTAGTTTTCCTATTGTCTTCTTGGATTCAGGTAAATATTTCTTGAGTTTTAACATGGCAGAAAAAGAATTTAATTTGTACAATTTCCTTGCTCCTTTCCAAGGATTACAATATAACAGTTGTAAATAACAACTTTGTTTCCTTTTTAATCTTGTATTTACCTTTTTAATTCTTTCGAATATTATGATCATTACTCATTTCATGTGGGTTCTTTCCATTTTTTCTTATATTTTAGCCGCTGGCAAGTGCATACGGGCTTGCAAAGCATAGAGATGGACGCTGGGAGTGGGCTATTGCTCCGGGTGTCTCTCCTTCTCCAAGATACCAACATGCAGCTGTGAGGGGATTTCACTTTCCTTTCCATATGTTCTACCCTCTAGTATCATTTTGAAATATGCAATAATATTCTATAACAAATTTTTTTAGGTTTTTGTCAATGCAAGGCTTCATGTATCTGGAGGGGCTCTAGGTGGTGGTCGCATGGTGGAAGATTCATCAAGTGTTGCAGGTAAGTTCTTATGTTTTTTAGGTCTGTTTTGAAACTGATATATGTCAGTGTTATGTTACTGTTTTTGGTAATGACCTGGTTATGCACTCAGTTACGGCAAACTCATTTGTATCAAAGTCTTGTGAACAACTTTTTAAATATTATGGCTGTGTTTGTTTCCAATCTTGTGAATTGATAACCATTCTCTATACTTTCTTTCACTAATTGCTCATCTGCAGATCTTGTAGATTTGATACTTGTTAAATTCCCTCCGTTTTAGTAGCCATGTCATCTCTCATTTGCAGTTGAAAGGAACATAAATGTATCGCTAATTTCTGGAGTCATGGAATTCCACAACCATGACATAATCATAGAGTCTGCTTCATCCCATGCCCCAAAAATGGGATCTCCTTCTTTTGGTCCTCCAAGGAGGTGATGTATTTTCTCTTTCCCCTTCAGGTCTTCACAAATTGAGACTACTTTAGGTAGTTCTTCCCATTTAGACGATAGGAAGGTTGCATGCTTTGAAGGTCACCTCGTCCTTGGTGTAGCATCGATTCCTCGGTTTGATCAACTCTTTGAAAGGAGTTAATTTATGACATTGGAAAGCAATTAAGGCTTCCTAGAATTTTCTTGTTCGACAATAAAGGTCGAAAGATAATTTTTTTTTCTGGTTTACAAAAAAAAAAAAACCAAAAAAAAAAAAAAAAAACCAGCCGAGTCCCTTAAGAAACCCGGATCGGGAGTAGGGCCGATCTTCTTCACCGAGCGAGGGCCAGCGACAGAGAGGGGACTTGCTCGTGACAGTGTTCCTTCGTCGAATTAGAAGTTTGAGAAGAAATTGGTCTGTCTTCCGGTTGGATCGGACGAGAGCTCGCCCGTGCGGGATCTCCTTCTCTCTCGGACGCGATCTCTCTCGCTCGACTAGCAGCAAAGGGATGGGAGCTCGCTCGTGCGGTATCTCTTGGACGCGATCTCTCTCGCTCGATCGACAGCGAAGGGACGGGAGCTCGCTCTTGCGGTATCTCCCTCTCTCTTTGTCCTTCCTGTCGGATCGGAAGTTCCGCTTCGTTTCGGCTTCTGGCTTCGATGTGTGAGGTCTGCAGCGATCAAGTCTCGGATGCTCCGAGTTTTTTCTTTTCCTCCTCCGATGATCTAAGATCGCCGTTGGCTCTGATACCATGTTAAAATTGAGAATTTGAGAGGGAAAAGCTTGAATTTTATTATGCAATTTACTCCCTATTTATAGATTTATACAAGGTGTATTGATAAGGAAACAAGTAACTCTAGAATAATGAGAATACAATCATTCCTAAATCAATAAATCAACTTCTGGAAGGAATAAATGTGATACAGGCGGTCTTCCCACGGATTACTGTTCACAGCCGTGGATGCTCTTTGTATCGTGAGGTTGAGATTTAACAATTGTAGATTTGATACTTGTTAAATTCCCTCCGCTTTAATAGCCATGTCATCTCTGGCATAAGTACATGCATTCATTTTATAGAATTCCTTACATTTTGCATTTTTTGTCCTCCTCCAAGCAATTCTCCCTCTTCAAATGTCGACATTCAACGGGAAAGAAAAGTCGTTGGGAATAATCGTCTTTTTTGTTCCTTAAGAAGCTATTCTTGAGCAATGTATAAATGATTATCCGGTATCCGTAGCCAGAAGCTATCTCTAATAATCATTTCTGAACATTATGAGGCACTTCTTTTTTGCGTCAATCTTTGTGTAATTTCACGTGATATCATTTATATATCTAACTCTATCGTTGAATCCAATTCTCTTGGCTTTCAGCTTGCGGAAGTTGATGAGTTTTGTGGACTTATCTTTTTCTATTATTTATTGCTTTCCTTAGAAATGCTTGTGCTTCTCATATACGAATTTATGCCTGCTTTTCTTGCAATAATAAATGCCCAATAAATGACTGTTTGATTGCTTCGACTCATTAAAGTTTAAGTTTAACCATTTTTATGCAGAGCATACGAAATTTTCTTGACCTATATAGTGAAAAAATATAGAAACACCGCACTGGCTGGTAGCATCTTCATTTCATTTGTTTCTATATTTCGTGCAGCTGATACATAAATAAACTCTTCACTAGGCATCTTGATATTAGAACATTTTTAATATTTTCCGTAGTTGAACACCAGTGATACTTCCTACAGATATGATTAATAGATGGCCCAATTTTAGCTTGTGCAAAGTTGACCGTGAGTGTCATTTACTTGGCAGTTTGCATCCTGTTTTATTTTTGCAAGCATTGCGAGTGCTAACTTATGGTATTTGTGATTATATATTGTGTCCGCTTCATGTAGCATTCTCATAGATGCAGGACTTTCTTTCACCTTCGTTAGTAAGACTTAGACCATTCTGAACCAAACACCTTTCCGCATCATATCTTTGACTTTGCTTATTGTAACTTGCAAGTTCTCATAGATATACTGGGTGATATCTCACAAGTGCTTTATATTCTTGCATGCTTCAGTGCTGGACACTGCTGCTGGAGTTTGGTGTGATATAAAATCAGTGGTGACAAGTCCTAGGACAGGCAAATACAGTGCTGATACAGCCGGTGGAGATGCTTCAGTTGAACTTACACGGAGGTGCAGGCATGCGGCTGCTGCAATTGGCGACATGATATTTATTTATGGAGGATTACGTGGTGGTAAGATTAAAACCTATTTATAGTATCTGAAAGTTGTCTTTAGATCTGAACTTGGAATATAGTTTTCTTAATTTCTTTGCTGTTGTTATCCTTGCTCAAACAAGTGATTTTTGGTGGCTTACCTGGACGCATTTCAACATGGTCTTTATTGTTCTCATCCTATGATGCACAAACATTTTAAAATGCCTTCGGTGATTGTGTCCAACACGGATACTTCTCCAACACGTGTTTAGCACACTTAAAATTTTGTTGGAGATTTTCAAGTGGATGTTGTCCAGCATTAGGGCGACACATGCATGGCACATAGGGGACACGCTATACATCATGGCACATATGGGACATATGTGTGACTTTCTGAAGTTCTCAGATTTCGGATTGAAAAAAATTTGAAAAAAAAAATGGACTGATGAATATGAAATTGGTTAATTTTACAATGAAAAAAAAACCAGAAAAAAATACAAAATGAGAATTAAAAAATGAGATAACTACATGAATATTGAATATTAAATGGACTTACAAGGGACCTACAGAACGTAGTAGCTTGCTTATGACCAAGAAGATAGTCTCCTCCCTCTTCACTCGTAAACACTAGAAACCTTACAGAACTCAATGAATTTACACTTGTATGAGGTGAAATGAACAAGCTAATAAGAGGAAGAACAGATTCTATGCAAGGCCCAGTACGCTAATAAACATGTAAGATGATAAAAAGAACATAATGGAACACATGTTAGATTCTAATTCTATCGCCACTGGATCCACAACATACATCGGATAAAAGATGAAATATTGAGCTTTAATAATTAAAATCGAATAATTTTGACTCTCTTACACGTAGCATGAAACTCAAATATAAGGCATCAAGACTCGTGTAAATGCATCAACCGCATGCATTGTACAGGCTAGTTGAAAATTGTGCTAGTGTGCAAGTGCTTAAAAAAATGTGCATCATATAAGTGCACTGGGAAATGGGCATATGCATCATGCAAGTGCATTAAAAAATGCGCAAGTAAATCATATATGAGCATAAAAAAGCTTACAAAAGTGTTCAAATCAAACATGTTTGCTAATGCTTGAACCCAAAGTTTGATTATGCTGTGTGGATTGTAAGCAATAGCAAACTTAAATTTCCCTCACTGCGAAAACCATGTAAATATTTTGAAGATTTTGCACTTATTTTGAAAAATACCAATCTTTTTTCAAAAAGTTCAACTCATACTTATTAAGCTAAACGTGCTCTTGAGCAAGTTGCTTTGTGTATAGAGCAAGGTCGTAAGTCCCATATTTCAAGTTTAATTTTTCTTGTTAGATATTGGTTCTTATTTTACATGTTTTTTTTGGTTTTGGTTTTAGTCTTTGTTTTAGGCTATTTTAACTTTTACCCCTTTGGATTGTTTTAGTATAAATAGGGGTGGCTTGTATTGTTTCAAGGTATGAATGAATAAATCATTTCAGTTTTTCCTTTTCAAAACCTGTGAGCTCTCTCCCTCTTTCCCTTCTCTTTCTCTCGGGTGGAAGCAATAGAGAGCTGTTTTCTCTCTCGGTCCAGACAACAAGAAGAATCCGGCAGGTGGAAATAGCAGCAAGAAGTTGGCTGTCTGGTCTAGGCAAGGTGGAGATCTCTGGCGGAGGTGCAACTGCAGGTGACTGGCGTTGCAAGGACAGCAGGTGTGGAGGGAGCAAAGGAAAAGAAACAAGGTGTTATTGTAGAAATAAGGTGCAGAACTTTAAGAATCCATTCATCCTAGGTTTGTTTTTAAACAAGTGATATTAGAGCTTGGTCAATAAATATTAAGAGGAAGAAGGAAGGTGTTTTTAGATCTCAAGAAGGGGAAATTCAAGCCAAGAGGTGGAGTTCCTTGGCTGTTATTGGTAAACAGCAGGTGGAGCTTTCTTGGCTGTTTTTGGGTGGAAAACAGGTGGCGAAAAGGTTTTTTTGGCTGTTTTTCCTGAAGACAGCAGTTTGTTTTGTGAACAGAAAGTGGAGGAAAGCAGGTAACCATCCAGTGGAACAGTTTTCCTTGGCTGTTCTTTGTGGACAGCAGGCGGAGGAGAAGGGTGATTGGTGGTTGAGTAGTTTTGCTTGGATGTTTTTGTGGACAGCAAGAAGAACCAGCAGTGGAGCAGTTTTTGTGGCTGTTCTTTGTGGATGGCAGGTGGAGGAGAAGGGTGACCGACAGTGAAGCAGTTTTCTTTGCTATTTTTTTGGATAGCAGTTGGAGGAGAAGCAGGTGACCATTCAGTGAAGGCTCCTCTTGGCTGTTTTTTGTGGACAGCTGGTGAAGAAGATGAGGCAACAGGCGGGGAAGACTTTTCTTGGGCTGTTCTTTGTGGACAGTAGGTGGAGGAAGAGTTGGTGACCAGAGGGGAAGCCTTTTCTGGGTTTTGTGGAAAGTAGGTGGAGGAGAGCAACAACTGGGCTGCTGGGCTGATTTTAGTGGACAACAGCTAGATTGAAGTGCTGTTGGGCTAATTTATGTATACAATAGCTGGATTGAAGAGCTACTGGGCTGATTTATGTGGACAGGTGGGTTGAAGGGGTGCTGCAGTGTTATTGAAAGAAGGATGTCCATTGCTAAGCTTAAATTGAGAATTTCACAGGTCTCAATGATTTTAGCCTATGGAGGTTGAAGATGAGAGCTCTTCTAATCCATCAAGGTTTGACACAACTCTATTGGAGGAAGGGATCTTGAGGATAAAACAAAGATCATGCAGGGATGTGCTTAATAAGGCACATTGTGCAATCCTTTTATGCTTAGGAGATGAAGTTCTAAGGGAGTTTGCTGATGAAGGAACAACTATAGAGATTTGGGAAAAATTGGGATCTCTGTATCTTAAAAGCTCTCTAGCCAATAGGCTTTACGTCAAGAAGAAGTTGTACACTTTGCAAATGAATGATTCCAAACCCGGAATACGGACTTGGATGAATTCAACTGAATTATCTTGGATTTGAAAAGCGTATGAGTAAAGATTGAAGATTAATATCAAACCATCATTCTCATAAGCTCATTACCTTCTAGATTTGAGCATTTTGTGGACAGCTTGTTGTATGGGAAGGATACTCTTGCTATGGCCAAAGTCATGGCTGCACTCAACTCTAGGAGATTCAAAGGGGGTTGAGGTGAATCATGAAGGAGCGGTTGATGCCCTTTCTATGAAAGGTAGACCTAAGGAGTGAGAGTCCAAAGCTAAGAATCATGCTAGATCCAAATCTAAAGGCAAACTGAAGTGCTTTTTTTTGTAACAAGGAAAGCCACCTCTAAAGGCAATGCCTGGAATTGAAGAACAAACATCAAGGAGATTGACTTGTGTGAGCATTTTATAGTTGGCAAAGCAAGGAGGCTGAAATTTTCAAATGCAAGACATGATTCTAAGGAAGTTTTGGATTATGTATATGCTGATTTGTGGGGGCCAACCAAGTGTGAGTCTCGTGGAGGAACAATGTGTTTCTTTCTCTAGTTGATGATTATTCTAGAAAGCTTTGAATTTTCTTTTTAAAAGGCAAGAATAAAGCCTTGGACAAGTTCAAGGAATTAAAGGTTCTTCTGGAGAATCAAGTAGATAAGAAGGTTAAAAAGCATAGAACTGATAATGGATTGAAGTTTTGCTCTAATGAGTACAAAAAGTTTTGTAAGGTGCATGGCATAGCAAGACACCTAACTGTGAGATACACTCCTCAATAGAATGGGTTGGAATGGTTCAATAGGACCATTCTGGAGAGGGTGAGGTGTATGTTGCACAATGCAAGACTTCCTAAGTCATTTTGGGCCTTGACAGTTAGCACGGATGCATTCATTATTAATAGGTATCCTTCATGTGGAGTTGACTTCAAAACTCCTCAAGAGATGTGGAGTGGACAGCTAGCATGTTACAAAGAGTTGATGATGTTTGGATGTATAGTATATGCTCACATCAAGCAAGAAAAGCTGGAAGCAAGGGCTATCAAATGCATTTTCATAGGCATCCTGAAAATGTGTATGACTACATACTTTGGTGCTTGTAACCAAGACATCCTAGGTGCATAATCAGCAGGGATGTCACTTTCACTTTTAATGAACATGAGATGGTTGATCTTATTCCTAAAAGGGTTCAGCCGGTTCCTATGGATGAAAAAGATGTTTCTACAACTGTTGGAAGGTGTTCAGGGGCTTGTTCTAGTTCAGGACATCAACATCATATAGAAATAGAAGTGCTGGACAACAATTCTGAAGGTGTTGTTGCTGCTAAAAATAAAAAAAAATGAGGTGGAATCCATTGAGGAGTTGCTAAGGAGTTATAGGCTGGCTAGGAATAGACCTCAGCGTGTAACTAGGCCTCCTCAAAGGTATAGATTTGCTGATGTGATTTCTTATGCTCTCTTAGCATATTCTATGCAATGTGATGCACCAACTTCTTACAAGGAGGCAATGAGTTATGAGGAGAGAACTGAATGACAGCTTGCTATGGAAGAGGATATTGCCTCTTTAAGGAAGAATCACACTTGGGACTTGGTGGAGAAGCCAGGGGAGAAGAAGCTAGTCACTTATAGGTGGCTATTCAAAAGTAAGGAAGGGGCTGGTTGTTGACCCGTATCCAGTTAACAAAAAAAGAGAGAATAAATCAAATCCTACATGCTATGCTCGTCGCACGTCGTCGCCGTACCTACGCACGATCCAACGTCGTTTCTTGCACGACGTCGCCTGGCACTTTTCTGCAGCGTTAAATGTCGGAGAAAATGAGAGAGCTCAGCTCTCTGACTCGCTCTTTCTCTCATACTCTCGCTCTCTTCTCCCGAACTCTCTGATCAATCCCGATTCTCCCTCTCTCTGTTCGACTCCGCTCCATCAACGACATTTCGATCGGAGGCAAGAACTGGAGCCCGCTCACCGTGAAGATAACTCTCTCCATTCCGCGTGCTTCTTCGGCTCTGATCGTGGCTGTCGACTTCGCTCCTGTGACGACATTCCTTTCCTAACGGATCGGAAGTTCGGCATTTTGATCGGAGGCAACAACGAGAGCAGCTCACTGTGAAGTTAACTCCATCCCTTTCACGCCTCTTCTCCGACTCCTTTGTGGCCGAACGAATTCGCCTCTCCAACGACGTTCCCTGCCTGTAGGATCGGAAGTGGCGACAGCTTGATCGGAAGCAAAGAACGGGAGCCCGCTCGGTGTGAAGGAGGCTTTCTCCCTCACGCGCGCTTCTTCTTCTCCGGTCCCTCCAGGGCTGTTCGACTTTGCTCCTCCGACGTTCCTTCCAGTCGGATCGAAGTTACGGCATTTTGTTCGGAAGCAACGGGCGGGAGCTCGCCGACTGCAAAGGAAACTTTCTCCCTTTCGATCACTTCTTCTGCTCTCGCGTGGTTGTGCAACGTCGCTCCTTCGACGACTCTTCCTTCCTGTTGAATCGAAAGTTACGGCATTTTGATCGGAGCCAAGAGCAGGAGCTCGCCGACAGTGAAGGTAACTTTCTCCCCTTCGCGCGCTTGCTCGGCCAAATCCCGTGTATCCGCCAAATCAGAGAGGGGAGAGGGAGAGGGATTAACTTTTTTAATTAAAATTAATTTTAATTAATTGTAATTATGTTTATCCTAATTAATTTTAGTTATTATAATTAATTATAATTAATTTTAATTAAATGATTATAATTAATATTAATTAATTATAATTAATTTAATTAAAATTAATATTAATTAATTATATTATAACTAGTTTATTATTAATTATGATTGATTAATATTAATTAATTAAGGTTAATTAATATTAATTAGTTTTAATTAATTGAAATTAAATATTATTAATTATCTTAATTAATTATAATAATTATAATTAATTATTTTAATTAATTATATTTAATTTTAAATAAACATAATTATTTAAGGATAATTATAATTATTAATTAATTATAATTAATATGCTTGCTCTGCCCTTGCCTCGATCCACGAGCCGACAGCCCGCCAGAACCGCCAAGGTATAATTTCTAACTTAAATCCCGTTCTCGACGTTTGCAGCGGACCGGGGAACCACCTATACGCGCTCTTGTAGCACGGTGGGAGGGAGCCCGGTGCGAAGCATACGACGAGGCGGGTAAGCCCTATACACGCTCTTGTAGCGTGGTGGGGACGGTCCTCGACCTCGACACCGACACCGCCGACGACTGCTACGCAAAGGTATGATGTTCCAAATCCCATTCTCGACGTTTGCAGCGGACCGGAGAACCACCTATACGCGCTCTTGTAGCACGGTAGGAGGGAGCCCGGTGCGA